CTATAGGTATCTTATCTAGTAACTCAAGTATTATTAAACAAACAGAGTAGATAAATTTATAAATACAACCACCATGACCGTAACAGTGATGGTACTGCCGTCAGAGCCAAATATCTTTCTGAAAAAAAGTTCCTATGCTTTCTCTGAGTAAGGCTCAAGCATGTGATATGAAAATTGAGAATCATACGGAATCATCAGCAATGCCTTATTCCGAGTAGTTAGGATTACACTATTGTTTTTGCTGTTATTAAGTAAAGCATGCTCTACATCTCTCCAAAATTCAGTTTTCCACACTTCATCGACACACATCATGTACGCTTGTCCTACAAGTGCTCTCTCAGAGTCATGATCTGATTCTTCTCTCCAGTTTGTAAAGCTGTTTCCACTAACAGTGGAACTCCATCTTTGTCGTTGCTGTTGCAACTTATTTTTCATTGTATTTTATTTGACTTTGTATTTCGTTCTCCAGCTGTTCCTTTTATTCTAGGAGTCAGTTTAATTAAATTTTGAAGTTTACATGTTCAATTCCTGTGTTCCATATATATTCAATTACATCAATGAAATAAAGGGTGGAAATTTATTCCAAAAAGTAGTTTGCGTGGTGTATGCTTCTTCATTATTCAGGAAACTGTTAGTCAAAATTATCAATCACTTTCTATCTACACCCACTCACCCACATGTTTCCTTTAGATAGATTTCATTTTCACAGACAAATCAAAATCGATTTCACATCACCGTGATAAATTAGATTGATTATTAAAATCATAATTTATACAGTGAAACCTTTCTATACTCATAATGATAGGATTAATTAATTTTGTTACTATAAAGAGGTTATAATTTCATAGATATATAGTTACAAAAATTATAATTTTGATTTCTTATTTTTTAATTTATGTTTTAGTACTATAGTATTAGGATTTCAATTCATATTTGAGTAGTATTAGGATTTTAACTCAGTGCTTCCATTGCCTACTTTTGAAATTGATAGAAGACCGTGTCTTGGAATCAGCAAAGATAAATGTCATTGATGGAATTATAAATGCAATTGATGGATGATCAATTGATGTGAAATCAAAGACAATTGTCAATGGTTTTTAATCATTTCAAAATTAGGATCCCGATTTCGATGAATTGCAAGTTACAAATGAAGTGGACGAGAAAAATTAAAGAGTCATTGCAAAATTAAATGATCAGATTCGATAAGAAAGTAAAAGAGTCATTGCAAAATTAAGTGATGAGATTCGATAATTTCACTATACTAATTGAATGGATATTAATGTCTTCCTCGATCATACAAATGAGCAATAAATCGTGTGTACTTTAACCAAAGAAGAAATCATTGCTACAATTAGACAAGAAGATAAAACAAATAATCTTAAGGATGATAGTACGGGAATACAAAAAGTTTCGTGCCATGAAGCTCTAAATATGCTTGAGAAGCTAAAAATATTTTGGCTTCAATAAAAAGGTATCCATGTTAGCAAATTATTACATACTAGTAAGGTAAAAGATGTGGTAACAACTCTAAAATATAAATCATTATCCCAAACAACTTTAAATAAAGATTTTATTTCATCTTAAACTTTTAATGTAACATAATATATATTTTTTAGTAATATACAGATAATTATTATTATGTGGAGGCAACTTTCCTTCAGATTGGAATTAGAAAAATTATAACTCATTACAATGTGGAATTTATTCTTATTTATAACTATCCCAAATTGAGACTATAATTTTTTTTTTTGACTATATAGAGTTTATTCTTATATAGAATATCGCTGTAGAAAGGTTTTATGTACATGTGTTTTAACCAGATAAATTTACTGTAATTAAGTCAGATTACAAGTACAGGCCCACATCTCTTTCTTTCTTGACTTAGATCTCGCAACGTTCAAAACATGGGATTTATATACTTTTTTGATGTAGAATTAGCTTGAAGAATTCAAGAAATTAAGTATCCAAGGGGATGCCGAACATGTCACTTGTCATGGAAACTTGCATTAAGTTTCACTTTAGCTGTTTGATTGGCCTTATTCAAAGAATTATCAAACCCTACGTCTACGGCAAGATGATTTTTTTGACTTCTAAAATGTTTCCAGACATGGGAATTAATTTCTGGTGTATTGTTCGCAGGTAGAATCCAAAAAGAGACCAAAATTTAAGTACTTTACATGTAATTCAGTAGTTAAAGTCTTAATTAATTTACCCATTGGCATATTCAGTTTTTCAAAGAGGGCTTCGTATATGTTGACAAGTTTAGTCATTGGCGTGTAGACTTTGTTATTGAAGTATTTAGTTCAGAGTTTCTAACCCAATTCCTTGCAATTAGCCTTCAATATTAAACGTAGGAAACTTGTTTTCTGGTTTCATATTTGAAGTTAAATAATTACTTTTTTGTTTTACACACTAAAAGTCAATTTTGGGGTTGCGTTCAAAAACTACAAGCCAACTGATTGTCATGTTTAATAGTACTAGCTAGTTTAGAGCAGCTCTACAGAGAGAGGATCTCTTACTGTGATGAATAATAAAGGTAGAATATACAGAACTACTTAAACTAGATAGTGATGCATACCGTAAACTCTTTGTATTTGATTATATATATATACTATCTTAATAGCTATAGAAACGGTTGTTGAAGAGCTTTGTCAATTTCATGTCAACATACCCCTGTCACTGAGTAATTATGTTAATTTGACATCACCAGTCAATGAAAATCTATATAAGAAGCCTTGAATACGCTTGATTAAATAAACACATATAAATGAGACCATTAATGTGTTAAATTAACAATAAGATTTTCTGGAATGTTGGATGTGTTACGATACTCCCATTTTCCATTCAAGATTTCTATTGTAATGGTGATCAAATTTTCTGCATGTTGGTGTGATGGCTTGAAACACTGTCGTATTAGAACTTAAATGAGACGACGTCGTTTTGAACTGAACTGAAGAAGCAATCCTGAGCGTTGATGAAGAGAAGATCCAACGGTTGGAATTAACCCTTCAATCAACCATATAAAAGAAGAACTCTTTTGGCATATTGTATGCAGTAATTCTTGTGCGAACTCTCTCTTCTTCGTTGACACAATATTGAGTCTGTTAGGGTTTCAATTTGGGTTGTGTGAATCTTGTAACTTGGTGATTGAGTGGTTGGGTCAGGTCATTCTGGGTGTATTTGTATACGCAGTTAGTAGGGACTGAAAGGGTATAATCTCTAGGGTGAGTTACAAGTTGTAGAAGGGATTTGAGGGTTTTGTGGTGCTGTGTGTAATCTGTAATCTTGACAGTGATTTAGTGCAGCGAGCTTGTGTGTTTCCCGAGCTCAATGTGGACGTAGCTTACTCGAAATAGAGCAAGTGAACCATGGTAAAATTCTAGTTGTTCTTGTGCATTTTGGTTGTGATTCTTGATTGTGGTCTTTGTTTGGTTGATTCTTGTGTGTGTGTGGTTATAACACTGCATTTTGGTTGAGAAGACATGATGCATATTGAGGGACCTAACATGTATAATAGTAAAGTCATTAGCCCATTGGCAGATAGGCAGTATTTGAGGAGGCTTTTCAGGTTTGTCTATGTGTCATTATGTGATTTAAGATTCTGCTATTTAAGTCTTAGGCTTCCAGACTTGTTCTTGATAGTTGGGTTCAGAGTTTGAAGCCCATTATTTACTATCAATTGGCCTGGTAACTTCCTTACTAAAATGTATAAACAGCAGCAACTTGGCTTAATCTATCACTAAATGAAAGTCAACCGTCTTCTCCCACTTCTACTAGGCAGTAACTAGGGTGAAAATCGAGCTGAGCCCGATTTTGGCTCGAACTCAGCTCGATATAGTCAAGTTGAGTTTGATCACTCTAGAACTCGAACTTGAACTTGATTAAAGCTCAAATGTCCGAATTCGATTGAAGTTCATATTCTCAAACTCTAATAATGGAACTTGAATAAAACTCAACTAAAACTCGATTATACGAATTTGAATTCAAACTTGAATTCCAATTTCAGGTACCGAATTCGAATTTGAATTCGATTTCTCAGGCTCGATTAGGCTTAAACTTGAACTTAAATTTGGTACTATAACGCTTGAGTCGAGTTCAATTAACTCGACTCGATTTCACCCTTACTTGTAACAATTGAGTATTTGCATTGTATATTAAACAAAGCGAAGTCCATGACTAAGTTCTCCAATCACATGTTTGATTTGGTAAGTGCACTTGGATCACGAGGATCCTGATATATGAACTCTTGAACCGAATTAGACAATATTGCAAGTTAAAGATTGATGTTCAAACAAGAAGATTTTTCAGATAATACAAGCAAATTTCACAGGATTGGACAGTTATTATTTGGGTACTACTCACAAACCACTCCATAATATTCGATGGGGCGATGGCAGTACTATGCAGATATGCATTAATACAAAATTTCTCATGCCTCAGCAAATTTGAATGTCATGCATAAACCACCATTAAAGCTCTCATTGCAATACACTTTCTAATTTAATGTAATGGCATTAACCCTATATGGATAAGTCAAGGATTATCTTCACTTCTTTCACCAAACTGTCCGTTAACCTGACAAAATTATGTACTTAGCATATGAAGGAAATAGAGTTGACAATGAAGTATCCGGAAAAACAACAACTAAAATACTTAATGGGTAATTGCAAAATTATTAATTCTTGGTGGAAGAACTATTAACTCGACATTCAAATGAATTTCCCTGCAGCACAACTATGCATTTTGGAGTAACAGAGAGAAATAAATGGAACATTTATCGCGATTTGCAGAAACATTAGAAAGTTCTGTATCCACCACAGCCAATCTGATTCCCACCATCAAAAGCTTGTTAAAGTTGTTCAAATCAAAAGGTATGATGCCAACAGAGGATTCGTAGTACATATCTCTTTATTTTTTTCTATAAATTGATTACATAGGATAGGAGATTTTAATATTTTATCATTCCTCGAATAAATAATCTGAAATAATGAAGCAAATGATTAAATAATAAGATCATAAACTAATATTAAAATTTGAACAGAAATACTGTAGAACATAATCATTAACAGTCAGGATACTACTTGGAAACTTATTAATTATTTATATACAGAACTTGTAGCTCAAGTAAAAGACAATCTGAACTTGGGAGCTGGCCTTGGTCAGCCGAGCTTCAACTTTTATTATTGCTCATTTTCTGATGCCTTAGCAAATTTGAATGTCATGCATAAACCAACAGGAAAGCCCTTATTGAATTTTTGCCCAGAGCCTCTCTTATTTTCATAACCTGGATAATCTGATTTGTAAAACCATGCTTTTTCAACCAAAGACAGCCCTACTTCCGCTGCTAATTTCTCTATCTCCCACCTATCAAATGGATCAGCGATTTTATGGGTTACATGAACTTCCCCTTTTTCCTTCAGCATGTTCCTTGCACTGCTTAGAAAGCCTCTCACCAGGGTTTGATGCATCCTTAAAAAAAAAGGAATGTCCATTATTATCCATGACTTAATAAATTTACCTGGTCGATCCTCCAAATAAAATGTTGAAGCTGGTTTTTAGATAATTGCTAACTTACCCAATTTTGTGAGATCATGTTCCCTGAAAAAGAAACCTGCATGAGGAAAAATTAAAGACAATTCGATCGAATGATTTGCCACAAAACAGAGGGTGATGGCTCATGGTTGGCATCTAATCCCATGCACAATGTACATCCACGCTTCTCCGCTCTATCAAGTTTGAGTTTGCACTCGAATATTTCTTTGTTAACATTTCTAGTAATTCCAGGATCAAATGATACAAAGGTTTTAGAATCAATAAGTCCAACATTAACATTTATAAGCAATTAAAATTAACAGGCTCTCTGGTTCTTTTACCTTGGAGTCGAGAGAAGTGGCAATCATATTGGCAGCAGAGCCAAAGCTTTGGCCAAGCATGCTGCAAAAGAGAAACTCCCTCCCCACCAGTAGATTTGGTGAGCACGCTATAGCTTAATTTTCTCTCTCCTTCTTTCATTACATTAAACCCTTCCATAGTTTGTATCCTTTTATAAAATTACTCAGCCATAAACTATATCCAGTTTGATTGAAGAATATTGTTATGTGAGAGACATCATACTTCTGATCCTTAAAACTTAAGTAAAGAATGGTTGCAGTATTCCACAAAGTTACTGATTCCCATCATCAACAGCTTGTTAAAGTTGTTCATGATTCCTCATCCACAAAGTTACCTGATTCCTCATCACTGTATTGTCCAAGCAATATGTTGATTCTGACCTGAAGAAAGATATATACGATGTGTTGTCAGAAACCTTCAAAGCCAATGCTTCATATCCTTAATAGGGTTTAAAGAAATAGTAATATCTGATCGTCATATTTGTAAGAGTAGACAACATGTCAGATGGGTTTAAAGGAAGTTCAGGAATGCATGGACAATTACGATAATGGTGTGGAAGGTCTTCCATATTTGTGCGAATAGGGTAATAGGGGACCTAATCAATTTCAATTCTTTGTAGTTGTAGAGATGGCAGTTCTTCGAGTTTTGGAAACCAACCTTCCTGAAATGGAACTGCTCATCACTTTCAATTCTTGAGATCAAGAGCAATAATTAGGCAGGGCTTGAAGTACTATAAGTTGGGAATGAGGCCCTGAAAACAGAGATATTACTTTAAGTTATTTAATTGGTTAATAACGTTTAATCAAATGGCGCATCACCGAAACTGATGATGTGGAACTGGATTTCCAGCCCGGCGACGAAGATGGTGAGGGTGGTGGAGGAGGCAACTGGTAGGTAGATTCTTCCTCTTTGGCATTCTTCTTCTCTATAACATTTTAAAGGATAAATAAAGCGAGGAATAGAGAATTAGCGCGACAGTCAGGACATAAGAAATTGATCATAAATTATTTCACACATTACTAACAGATTACTATAAATTGATCACATTTTTATTGTCTTCTTCATTGCGCAATTCTGGCATCTTGGTTATTTGAGAAGAAAGTTGAGGAATGCATAGACAATTAAGACAATGTGAAGCAAGTCTTTTTATATTCCATGCAAACAGGGTAAAACAGAGGACCTCTTTTTTATACGCAAAGCTGGTGTCTCTTAAAGCCTTTCAACTGAAGCTTATTGGCAATTAAGAAAGCTATAGTATCCTTATCTAGTACTCAAGTTTATTTTAAACAAACAGAGTAGAAAATTTATAAATACAACCACCATGACCGTAACAGTAGATGTACTGCCGTCAGAGCCAATATCTTTCTGAAAAAAAGTTCCTATGCTTTCTCTGAAGGTAAAGGCTCAAGCATGTAGATATGAAAAATGAGAATCATACGGAATCAGCAATGGCCTTATTCCGAGTAGTTAGGATTACACTATTGTTTTTGTGTTTTAAGTAAAGCATGCTCTACATCTCTCCAAAATTCAGTTTTCCACACTTCATCGAACACAATCATGTAACGCTTGTCCTACAAGTGCTCTCTCAGAGTCATGATCTGATTCTTCTTCCATTTTGTTTGTTCCCATTAGAGCGGACCCTGTGAACGAAAGTTCAGTATAATTGTCATGGTAGATCTTTCTTCAAGTATTCTTTCCCAACTGTGATACAAGCATGGCAATCAAAATGCTTCTTCGAGTACTAGGAAACTTAATTTTTATTTTTTATTTTTTTTTTTTAATTGATGATTAGTGATAATGTTCCATGGAAACAGGGCAAAACAGGGCACCTAATTTTGTGTTGCCAGTTGTCAATGAAAATGTATATGGATTTAGATGCATAAGTCTGGTAACATTATTGAATGATATAATGAAAGATAGGATGGGATAAATTTGAGAGATCTACACTGTTATACAGAGCTATGTTGAGAGACTCTTACACTGTTATACAATGAGCTTATGCGTAGGGCTCTTAGGCTGTCATACAATGAGCTTAGGTGCACTAGGATTGATCTAGACGGCCAAATTTAACCTTTTAAACAGTATTTCTTAGGTGAGTTTAACTTTAAATTTAACATTAAGAACAATATCAGTTCACTCTGTAATGTATTATTTTTCCTTATTGTTCTCCTAGAAAAAGCCAGATATGCTAATGTGTTCTCCAATTTTCCGAAATCCATTGAAAAAAGTGGAAAACAGGGAAGATGTTTTTTACAGGCAGACAACAACGATGACCATAACAGTAACAACAACAACACATTTCAAAGTTGATATTACACAGAAAGTTTAAGAAAAATCCCTGCCCTACAACATGGAAATTACAAGAAGAAAACTGAATTAGATATGCATGCTGATAACAAGCAAATACTACACATTATTGGCGAAACTACACCACATGATTACAAGCAATACTGAACCTTTATTACAAGAAAAAGCCATAGTCATCCTAGGTGATCAATGGAAAATATGGATTCATCAGCACTACTTCATCTGTTCATGACAATAGAAGATTTCATTAGTCAACTAAATTAATTCATAGAATAAGTTAAAAAAAAAAAGTAAAAAAAAAAAATTGATAATTTGTTCTGGCGGCAACAGGCAGTTTACGGTAACCGCAGACTTTTTCGACATGCTAGGGTAACGAAATTGATATTAAAATGATCGTCTCTAAACGATCTATCTGCTTATAATTTAAACTGGAAGAATAATGTGCTTGGCAGGACTGACCGAGAAAGTGCGGCCATTTACACCAATCAGCTAAATTAATTCATAGAATAAGTAAAAAAAAAAAAAAAAACTGATAATTGGTTTGTGGGCAGCGGGCAGTTGACTTTTTCGGCATGTAGGGTAACAAAATTGATATTAAATGATCATCTCTAAATGATCTATTTGTCTATATAATTTTAAATGGAAAAATGATTGCGTTTGGCGGATTTGACTGAGAAAGTGTGGCCATCCAAACTTTCTTCTTTAGATGTGGCCAAACGTTGCACATATTGCTAACATTAATTGCATATACAGGTAGATCGTTAAAATTAAATTATTTAATACCAATATGTTACCTATATCGTCAAATAAATTCTGTGACGGACTTGTGGTTGCGGGTACACAGATTCCCGTAGCCGAAACTTATCAATTAATTAAGTGTAATTTAAATAAAATAAAATATAAGAATATTTTATTATGATAATTAGACTTGTGTATTTATTTAAAAAAAAATTCAGATATATTGATGTAATACAATTACTAGCCGATTAGAATTAATCCACTATTAAATTAGTAAAAAAAAAAAAATAAATATAATCTTTGCTGTAAAGAACATTTATGTGAGAGAAACAAATATCCAAAAGCTTACTGTTTAGGAGACTGACTGTTGATCCTATGATGGGGTGCTCGTAACTCTGCCTCAATTTGTTCAATAAGCTTCTCAAAATCTTCTGCCGAAAAGATGACAGATATTTACTAGTGTAAAAAGTATTTTCCCCTATTTGTTTGCTTATAGCTGACATGTACTTGTGGAATGTGTTTAGTGCATTCTCCAGTTCTCATTTTTATCATGCAATAAACTCCTTCAATATCATTTCAAATACAAGTCTCCTTAGGTTATTGAGCTGCTCGATTCCAGTTGGAATCTCCTTCAACATGGGCATGGTCCAATCACCAGGTCATAAGACTAGGCATTGCACCTTTCTCTATCATCATGCATTTCAACCTTTGAAGTTGTAGAGTAAAAGTATGAAGCTTGGAAACCAGCCTTCTTTGAATGCAATTGTTCATCACAATCATGCACCTCGAGAATCAGAGGAGATATGAGGCAGAGCTTGAAGGATTGTCATGAAATCATTGGTACATTCAACCAAATTATTCAATTCTAATCTGATTAGATTTTGAAGTTTACAAATCCAAACTTGTGGAATTTCATAAACATCCCTCCCAAATGAAATCTCTGAAGACATAAAGGAGGAGAAGCCAAGGATTGTGTATCAAGAGGCTCCTTCTCACTTGTAAACGCTAATAAACTCAAATCTTCAAGGTTTCTATATTCTGGACAGTAGCAAACAAATCCTTCACATCTCTATCTGCGACCCAATGCCAACTTTCTTTCTGCCTCAGTTTTTAAGCTCTTCAATGACTTCACTGTTTGCATGCACATATCGTAGCTGCTGCAACTTTGTTAAAGCCCCAAAAACTTCTTGTATTTTGCTCTACTTCCGTAAGGACCTTTGTTGTCCAAGCGATGTGCAATTAGAAAACACAATTTTTTCAAATTCTTGACCTCAATCGGGAGCTCACTCACAAAGTCCACTTCAAATCAAGAGTCTCTAAGTTGAGAAGCATGCCTAGGACTTGGGAGAGTTTTTTAACTTTTGTATTTTCAAACTTAAGTAGTGCAAATGGAAGACAATCCAAAGGGGCATTTTCAAAATCAAGTATCTTTAAGAGCTTGAAATCAACAACAATGTAGTGCATGAAAGCCTCGAGTAATTGTCTACATTGAAAAGACAAATGGAACGGATCTTGAATTTTTATTGCTCTCT